TTTATCAATTTTTTTTAAAAGTGAAACAATTTGAAATAATTCAAATTTAATGTATTTGAAAGTCTTAACTTGTGTTTGGATAAGGTAATTTAAGAGGGTGATTCATTTCATTAAAGAATTTAAAATTCTTTATGACAAAATATGTTGTTTGGATAAGGAATTTTGGAAGTTTTAATGCTAGTGTTCGCAACTCCTTCAACTCTTCTATTGATGGTTGTAAGTATACATCTATATCATTTGTGGTGCTCGCTTTCCAGAAATGATCATGGAGAAAATGAATGAAATTTGTTTCATACACATCGAAGGAGGAAGGTTGTATGGTATGAGTACAACTAGCCAAATATTGTGACTGGTTCTCAATGTGCCATATGGATTGAACCCATCAATAGTTAAAGTGAGTCTCACATTTTGAGGGTCTAAGACAAATTGAGGGTGCATCAAGTCAAATTTATTCCATGCTTAAGAATCTCTTTAATGTATTAAGATGCCTTCATCTATACTTTGTGATGCATGCAATCTCATATGATAAACTATTTTAGATGACAAAAACATCTTCTATAGTCGAAGGTTCAAGGGAAAATACCTTAAGACCTTTGAAGGAATCTTCTTTCGCTTAATTCACAACAATATCATCATCAATTGTATTTCTCTCTTTTGGCTTCCATCTTGATTAAATGCATGTTTAAATGCATCTGCTAGCATCTATAGTATCATGGACATATGTTATCACTTATTCTTCATAGACATTTGATGTTATATAACTTGACCGAGAAAGTTTCAGATATTTATCACATCCTTTATATAATTCTATTGTCCATCTTGCATTAAGTCAAAAACATATGTACCATCATGACTTCTAGTATGGCTTGACTCTCACTAGTACAGAATTGGGATACTAACACGACTAATATGCCTCGGTTTGTAAAAAGCCGAAGCATATGAAAACGCGGTGGCCCTTTTGAAATTTTAGCGAACTTATAGGTCTCGGTTCATGGGAAATCGAGACATAACAACTCTATTACCTCGGTTAAATAACCACTCGAGACGTATAACTGAGTTAGTGCCTCGGTTGCTAGGAGAACCGAGGCATATACCCCTGACAAATCCCCCTGTGGGCACTGGTAACACTGACGTATCATGTTTATGCTTCAGTTTTATTTTATCCGATGCGTATAGTAGCGTGTTTATGTTTCGGTTTTATTTTACCCAATGCCTATAGTGTTTTATAGGGTTAAAATTGAAATCCCGTAATCACTATTCTTCTTCCCAAGCTGCGCGAAACCTCTCTGCCTCACCATTCACCACTACTCTTTGCCTCGTCGTTCACTGCTCTTTGCCTCGCCACCACACCACTGCATCACCGTCGTCGTCGTCTCAGTTCCCACCGCCGCCATCGTTTCAGTTCCCACTGCTAGGTGCCCCACTACTGTCGTCGTCCCTGCTGGCTCAACCTCTGGTGCCGCCACTGCTGTCTCGCGCGAGAGGGATCTTTCTTTCTCACTGCTTTCTCACTTCTTCCCCCTTTCTCACTACTTTCTCACTGTGACCCGGGGCACCTGTCTTCTTCCCCATTTCTCATTGCTCTCTTCTTTCCTTCTCGCGCGAGAGATGACCCGAGGCATAAAATTACTTCTTTCTTCTTCCTTTCTTGCAAACAAACTAGGAGGACGCGGCACTGATGACAAATTTATGAACACCGAAAAACGGCGCCAAAAACTTGTTTAACCCTCGACAAGTGTGACCGAATCATATCAAGTAATAAACTCGGTAAGACCAAGTATCGTTCTCCCAAATGACTCACGACCTAGTTAGTTATATGATTTGTTGATTATTTAAGACTTGTGAACAATTGATTATAGGTTTCAAATGCAAAAGATAATAAGTAAACATGTATGCATGAGTTTGATCAGTGGAAAAGAGGAATACAAACACTTGAACGAATTAGATGGATGAGTATGTTGTTGGGGTTATCAATTTCATCTTATCTACTCTCATATGCTTTTAGGAATTCATCATTCTTTTCATCAATGTTAATGCCACTCTCTAAATCACCTTGCAAGAAGGCCTATCCTTAATTACGAGTTCATACAATTCCTAGCATCCCTAATAATTAATTCTGAAGTACAGAAGCTTAAAGGCAACCAACCCTCATATTCCTATGTCTAGGCAATATGCTATTGGGAGAATTTCCCCGGATCTAGATTTCCCCGTACGTTCCCATATCGACAAAATCAATAATCATGACATCGAATGACTTAAACAATGCATGCTTTGAGCAAAGAGGAAAAACCCTAACTAATAATGAAAGAAAGCATGTATCATAAATATGATGTTTAAACACAAAATTCCATATATGAGAGCTTCACAAGATTACATTGATTCCCCAACAACAATACAAGGTTTAGTTCACCATATTCATGGTGAAACTAGATTAACAATAATGAAAGAATGAAAGATAGAACCCTAGAAATATGAGTAGGTAGCCTGAGCATCCAAGATCTTCCTCCAAGGGGTGGAAAAGAGAGTGTTTGCTTCGTCTCAGCCAAAGATACAAACCCTAGGAAGTCCTAAAGCTTATATACTATTCGTAATATTACAGAAAAGTGGGCCTAAGCCCAAAAGACCATCGCTCAGCGATAAACTGCCGCTCAGCGGTACCAGCGCGTAGTCAATTTTCCCCTCAGCTGCACTTTCACCCCTCACCGGAGCCAACGGGTGTTCCTGAGTGTCGCTCAGCGGTAAACTGCCGCTAAGCGGTACTAGCGGCTTCTCTTCTTTTACACTTTTTGAGTTCTTTTCTGATTCCATCTCTATCCTTCTTCACTTCTTTCACCAAATTCACCTTAAAACCTGCATAAAACACTGAAATCAAGCATAAACTTGTCCAGCTCTCTTATTTCCAAAAATATGAACAAAAGCATGATTCCAAGCTAGTTTTTGAGTGTTAAAGGTTACTTTTAGTATCAATTTTAAGCATGAAAATAACAGTTTTTCAACTGTTATCAGGCACCATGAGGGTTGTAGCGGCGCTGCCTCCATAAGGGTTCCATCTCCGTCGCGGCGTTGTCTTGTCCTGGTCCTAAAATTAGGGTTCTACAGATGGAGGAAAGGGGAAAAACATTGTGCCTTCTTACTCCTGCGCCGTTGTGGAGAGGATGGAGGCGCGACCATGGATGGCAGCTTAAGGAGTTCGCGATTGAAGCTAACGGCTGTGCTTGCGAGGAAGACGAACTGGTGAATCGCAGCGGCGCCATTTTGGGTTCTTTTATGGTGGTCCGGTTCCGGAGCCGTAAGGGAAAGCATTATGGGTTCCATGAAATTAGGTTTCTGAAATTGGGAACAGACAAGGAGCGGCTACTGGCAGGCTTCCAGTGGAAGGGACACATGGATAAATCAAACATACACTGGAATGAGAGGGATCTAGAGACTGTGTAGGTATGAGACTATATAGTTGAAGGATAACTTAAAGGGATTGATTTGACTACTCATATCACCAAATGCATTTGTTTTTCGGTAGCCTAACTCATAAAAACTCCATGGTTAAGCGTGCTTAGCAGAGGCGTTACAAGTCCTAACTCAATCCATAAAATCAGTTTGTAAGGTGAGGTTTGCATCTCACTTATGTATTATAATTTGACTTTAAACTTCTAACATTCTTCTTTATTTTTTTTCCGTCACTTTCATCAATTAAAAAAGTCAAGGAATTAAAACTATATATTTTATTAACAATACAGCATGCAAGAGTATTACCAATATATTTTTGTTATACCTTTTCATTTTAATTAATTGATTGATGTTAGTGTAAGACTTATATATAATATATATTTGATTAGCAGTAATTTTTTACTACAATGTTTTTATTTTCATTCTTAATTTTTATAAAAAAAATATTTCAACCCAATATTAGTATTTTTTTTAATAGGAGACGAAAATGAAACAAAAGTTTTAACATTTCACTAAAATATGATAATGTAAATCACTGGAATTTTAAAATGCTAAAACATCAATAGTATATTTTATTTATCTATTTATTGAAAAAGTGTAGGAAATATACTTGTGTGCACTAAAAATTTTGCTGCATAAGTGGAATACAAAAATTAAACACTAATGGCATTGTTGGGCGATCTCATTAAATGGAAGACTGAAAATCTATGACATTGTTGACTTTACACACAATGGTAGAAGAAGTTTGGTGTGCATGTATTGGCCACAGTAACCTATTCTCTTCTGAGAGACAACCTAGATGCAGAACTTGCTAGCTGTTCCCAAGCCATAGCAATTAAAGTTTTCTCCTTTGTGGAACCAAGGTGGGTTGGAAATTGAAAACTGGTAAATCAGATTATTTGCTTTCTATCAGGTGCACTCAGTTTTCCATGTTTATGTGATTGCTTTCTGAATATATATTTATGAATACAGAAAGCATATATAACTATATTACATATATACCATGAATTGGTGGTTAAAATCAACCAATTGAAACTGTTTCTGAGGGAAATACACCTTGCATATTTTATATGTTGATATTATTTATACCTAGGGCATGTATGTCTCTGTCATGGTCCAACAAACGAGGTGGCTCTGTGTTATTGATTTCACTGTCAAGGGATATTATATACATATTCATGTGAACTTTTCTAGTGGTATTGAGTAGGAAATAAAGATGCCAAAATAAGTTTTCTGAATCCTAAACCCTTTTAGAGAAAGGATAACAAAGAAAATGGTGTGTACATTCAATTAGTACCACATTTGCACACTAATTCCTTAAGATTTTGATAAAAAAGAAAAGGATTTGTGGAGAGAGAATTTGGATATGTGTTAGACATGTCCAACTAAATTTTAGTCATGTGGTGAAGGTTCTTGAGAAAAGTTCAGGCTTTATTACTGGAAGAAGTGAATTAATAGCAAGAGTAAATGCACCCTGCAAGACATCAACTAACCACACACTCTTCCCACCTGCTAATATTTACTTCACTTCTTTGAACCATTTTATATTCCATGCTTTCTCCCTTCTTCAAACCACTTCAAAATCCTCACCATTCTCTCTCTATTATATACATATCTCTTGTGTTCTAAGCAGCTAGAAGCAACAATGGAGAGGAAAAGAAGCCATACCTCTCTTACCATGCTTGCAATGCTTGTTGGATTACTCTCTCAGAGCCTTGTCATTCCTGTGATGTCCATAACTGTTGAAGATCAGAAGAACTACTACACCCCAGATCCACATGCTGGAAATCCCCCCTCAGGTTTCTCTGATTCTCTGTGTAATCCTCTGACTGAAGTACCTACATTAGTCTAATACTCATGCAAGAGGCATGCATAGTATATGTATCTAGCAACTTTATTATCTAAGATAATTTTTCATAGCTTGGAGTTTGAAATGAACCAAAGTTGGAAGTTCATAGAAGATTTATATATGATACTGAAATACATTGTCTTGATATCTTCTTATTCACTCATTTCAGGCTCACACAGGAGTCCTCCATCTCATGGCCATGGAAGCTCTCCACCATCACACGGTGGAGGAAACTGTGGATCATCACCCCCACATCATGATCCAACACCCTCAACTCCATCAACCCCATCAACCCCATCCACACCATCAAACCCTCCTTCAGGTGGATACTATGGAGGTAGCCCCCCAACACCTATCACAGTGAGCCCACCAACCACCCCAGTAGACCCTGGCACCCCCTCTATCCCCTCACCACCTTACATTCCTTCCCCATCTCCCTTCACTGGCACATGCAAGTAAGTTACTTCACCATTTTAAGAGTACATGAATTTCTCTCTCTCTCAACAATAACAATATTCTTAAACCAAACAGGAATAGAAAGTTGTGATATGAAACTATAAAAGAAAAAGGTTGTTTCACACCATTTAACACTTATTTAGAATAAAATGGTCATTAAAAAAAAACGGAACGATAATATCATATGGGAGTAAAATAATTTCGGATGTAAAAATACTAGTATCCAAGTATAAAATATATCAATACATCCAAGTTACTTTCCACCATTTATATCACATCTTGAAAGAGTCACCTTTGCTCTTATTCTTTCTTTTCTTTTCCTTTCATGTCACATAGCAGTTTATACTATATTACAAGGGTACAAGGAGAAGTATAAGAAAAAATGACGTAAAATGAATTTTGTTATGTAATATATAATTCATAATAAGTTGTTACATTACTTTCTGTGATATAAAAGATGATGGATGTTTTGTTTGAATGTTCAGCTACTGGAGGAATCACCCAGCAATCATATGGGGAATCCTAGGGTGGTGGGGAACCCTAGGAAGTGCATTTGGTGTGACCAGTGTTCCAGGGTTCAGTCCTGGTCTGAGCTTGCCACAAGCACTTTCCAACACCAGAACCGATGGTCTAGGAGCACTCTAC